TGTAGTCTGGTCGATGTTAACCAACGTTTCAGAGGTCATACTGCCTCCGCCCTGATGACGGAGGCAGTATGACCTCTGAAACGTTGGTTAACATCGACCAGACTACACAGAGCAACAACCCAGAAGACGGAAATCTTCATACTCACCGCTGTGAGAACCTCAAGTCTTACATAATTTATACATGCTTTACAATTAAGTAAAGTTTGATTAAGAATTTGCTTATTTAACTTGAATTAGTTACGCTTAAGATGGGTCTTGTGTAGCTGAATGTAATGTAAAGTAATGTAATGTAATGAAATGTTTTATACGTAACAACAATGACGAGTAAACAGATGACGTTTCCTAGGTAACAACAATGCCGAGTAATGTAATGTAACGTTTCCTACGTAACAACAATGCCGAGTAAACACGACGTTTCCTAGGTAACCAGGTTACACATTTTCGTTCCCCTTTTTTGCCGAATGACCCTTCCTTATAGACGTATTTATGTTATGTTATTTTTTTTAGTCGTCTCTGGTCAATACGTGACCGTCATGACCTCTTTCGGGGCGCTCATGCGAAAGTACCACGGTGGGTTCGCATTTCCTTCCGTGGTCATTCTTTACCTACCAGACTGGAAGAGGAGACACAGACAAACATTCATGCCTTGAGTGGGACTCGAACCCACGGTCGCAGCGGCCAGGTGCACGAGGTCCATGCCTCAGACCACGTGGCTACTGCGGCTGGCAATTATGTTATAAAGTGAATTAATGAACGTAACAGAAATTAATTACTTTTCGTTAGGAGAACAGCATAGAATATTATTCTAATGTTTCATTTGATCGTTTGCTGTTGTGCAGTACTTAAAATTATGCCATCAATTTTTTATTACCATCTTGAGCACTACTTGGATTCTCACATATGAGGAGTTGAAAACATTGATCGAATGTGTAATTACTGATCTTATACAGTTATGATTTCATCTGTTGCTAGTTTTATGGGATGAAGCGGAAGGTCACAGTGGCTAAATTAACTACACCATCTAAGCACACACCTCAGGGAAAATTAAAAACTTTAGTCAATACACAAACCAGATAGTTTCCGAAGGCATCTATTATTTGCCACATTAGCCCAAAAGTAACTGTTTTTTGCAGGAATATGTGGTTCCAGAACCTAATTTTAATGTAACAAACTTAAATGGTGAAGTTACACATTTACCATGCTCCCACCGATGCAAGGTACTTAAGTAGCTTATCATAAAGATTTAACTAGTTTCATCAAACATCAGTATTTGTGAGCCAATAGCTTAAGCAGTTGATGCACATCATATATATATAACTTTGAATGTGGTATCAGGATCAGCGCAGTTTACATACCTGATATTCATATTCCTTTCATTTTCGTCTTGGACTTGCTGATTTTTTTTGTCAGATTTTGCATGATTCTAGAAAAGAAAGATGTAACTGGCTCATTAGACACTGACAAATCAAATCTAAAACTTCTTGACGATGGTGAAGAGTCAATTGAATAAAAATTTACTTGGATATTATCCATCGTCTAGTAAATATAAAACGTAAAACGACGTTTCGGAGATGGGACTCTATCTCCGTCTTCAGGTTCCTACACAGTTGGGCCCACTAGATAGAGCTAATCCCCATCTCCGAAACGTCGTTTTACGTTTTATATTTACTAGACGATGGATATTATCCAAGGAAATTTTTATTCGATATTTCGTCAGTAAAATTCCCTGACGTCTTAACTTCTCGCATGATTCCCTTCCGTACGAAAAGCATGTCATTTCGTGATCAGAATTCCTTTTTCCAAAGAACGCGAATGATAGTCTTTACAAATCACATGTTCAGTCAACTCAGTCAAATTTACAAAACTGTCATGAAGCATTCTACAGTCCGTAACATTAGAAAAATAACAGTTATACTAAACGTTTTCTCACATTCTGACTCATTACAGCGAACCAAAGACTGGTTTGTCATGTGCTACCACAAGACGAGTTACAGTTATATAAAGAGTTAGTCAATGTTTTGTTGTTGTTGTTTCTTGGCTCTACAATCCGGTTGTGGGTTTTCGCCACCTCCTTTTCGGACGTTTCTTGGTTTTGAAGTGTGCATTTATAAGTAGTGAGTGACCAGCCCACTGACTCTGCACAATTTCTACTCAATCCTGATTTGACTGTCAGAGAAATGGCTGCTGAATTTTGCTTACGAATGTAGCAGGCCTTTCACATCTAAGTTCTTACACTTGAAGAAGATGTATTTACATAGAAGCATGTTTAATTAAAGAGTGCATTTTTTGTTTATTACCACAAAGTAACAATAACTTAAATTGGAAAATACATATTTAATACATTATTCCTAAAGTAAGCTCATCATACTTTGCTGAGGACTGTCACACCACTCATGAGAACAGAAACTTTAAAATTCACCTACTCTGTTTACTTCCATTTGATCATGTTGTATGGAATTATTTTATGTAGAAACTCAACAGGCAGCCAAAAAGTATTTTACAGTCAAAAGAACATCATTAAAATAATGGCAGTCAATTAAAAGAAATTCACTGCATAACTAACTTCAATAAATATCAAGAAAGTGTTTAATGTAAGACTTGAGGTTCTCACAGCGGTGAATATGAAGATTTCTGTCTTCTGGGTTATTGCGCTGTGTAGTCTGGTCGATGTTAACCAACGTTTCAGAGGTCATACTGCCTCCGTCATCAGGGCGATGAATATGCCAATAACACATAAACAATACTTAACTGTCCAAACTAAGTAATTTATATTTGTATTATATACAAGTACTGCGAAGATGCCTGTCTGGATTGTAGCGCCATATATTCTGTTAGAAATTAACCACCGTTTCACAGGTCTTTGCCGCCTCCATCATCAGGGCAATGAGGTGGAGGTAGCAAGGACCTTCCAAACCAGAGTACACGGCGCTATAACGCAGAAGACGGCTATTTCTTACTCACCGCCATGAAAACCGCAACCCCTACTTAATAAGCATCTTATTTGTGCTGTGACATATTCTACATCTTTGGTTTCGGTTTATGACGGATATATAGAACGTAAATAACTACTATTATATTCTATTGTACTTACTTGACTCAGGAAAGATCGTGCATACCAATCTGTTACTGAAAACCACATGAATAAAATTTGTTAAATGATGGCTTCTTTTCTTCTTAATACAGTAAAAATGCATAAGACTTTCTGTAGCAACCCTGTTTCGTTGTCAGTGTAACAAAACCAACAAACAAAATTGTAACTATGGAAACAAACTCCATATTTACAAAAGTTAGAAAGATCAACAATGAATTCTATCGTAGCGACCTCTACACAATTTTCTGTATGCAACCTCACGGAAGGTATTTAGCTATGTTAGTGGAAAAAGGAGCTATGAGACGTAAAGAATCTTCGTAAGATGTGTTTTAAAAACGAAGGGAGAAATAGCCTCTGACATCTTCCAATAATACCATTCATCTTTTGTTGACTTTGTCGATAATATATTTCAGGGGTTCTGAAACGGTGGGTCTCGAAGACATTTTGATGGGTTGCATTGAGAAATTAAAACAATTTTTTTATATTATTGTTAATTTAGTTAAGTAAAAGTTACAATTTTCTGTTTCTAAATCTTACAGTCATAGTGTTTTATTCGATCTTTTATAATCTACGTCATAGTGGATTTTGAATAATCGATCGTATCCGCGGAAAGGTTACAAGCCTTTTGCAGACTTCTGGTTTTATCCATTGCGGCCATGTTGGATAAACAAGCCTTGCCCTTTTAAACTGCGTCCAACTTTCTCCAGCCTTGTCAGGGAATATTCTACGGTTGGTAAGTCTCATCAAATACTAATGGTGGAAGTTTAACATCAAACTGGTGATTGTTATACGTTTTCCATTTTACGCAACCTCCGTGTGTGATGAGAGTCAAATGTGTATGAAAAATACCAACCCCATATGAATATATCGTCTGACATCTTATTGCAATGAGTACTGTCAATTATTTTGAAATAATTTTATAGTCTACTTGTAAAGTTTTATGAACGTAACACAATATATATATATATATTTTTCTTTTTCGTCAGACTTCAGATTCTCATAGCGTAGTGTCATCTGGCAAAAGTTCCCCGACGTTTCGGAGTTGCTTGCTGCATCCATCATAAGGGACTAAATTTTTAAATAATATTTGGATTTAAAATATAAGGCGGGATGCGAAATACATGGCTTGAACCACACTTCAAGGCCGATTTCTTCTCTACCTATTCTGTATCAAGCCTCCTACTGACGCGTGCTTGGAGACCTCACATTTTTCCAGAACCCTTTTCCCTTTATTCTCGTCCCTAATTAGCCCAATTCCTCATCCTTTCGTTCCTCCAACCCTATATAAATCCCATTCAGCTCTGAAGATGGAGACAGTAT